TAAATATAGAACATGCTCTTGTCCATTAAAGGATTTAATATGCAAATCAAACAATTTTATTAGTTCCTTATTGTAACGTCTCCCATATAAATAGTCCTGTATTCCCAGAATTTGACAATGGTACTAGCCCAGAATTGACTTTCTGTTCAGCGCGTCTTTGATTGTAGTAATGTTTACGCCACTGTACGAAAATACGCACACTCGCGAATTTGACAACATTCACTTGAGCATTTTAGGATAGTGGGAATAGAAGCAAATAGATGGAAATGACAGTTACGTAACTCATGAAGATTGATGATTCGATTGCTGGCTGGGATAGATGTATTTAGTGTTCATTTCTATGCATATTGTCTACACCTGCGATTCTCAATTTCGATGTGTAAAATCATATCGCTGCTGTGGACGGCGACGGCTGACAGATTGTTTTGGTTCTGCAGCTCTCTTGGGATGGGCAACTGACTTTTAGGTTTCTGTTGTTTTTTTTGATATTCTGACGTTCACTTGGTCGTATTTTGTATATACCACTCAGACACTGACAACAAGTAAGTAAACGGGCCGGAACATAGTCAACATGCCAGTGGGACTCTGAAGGCCCCGGAGAAAGCGCCATCTTACAACATTAATGAACGAAATTTACATTTACAATTTCATGCTTCCGAACAATCTGATATTTATGCTGGATAACAAAGTATACAAGTACTGTCTACAATATACTGCATAATGGCACCGTCCCTCATTGAGGGACGGTGATAATGGAAATAACATACCTATCTATCATTTTTACGCCGATGACACACAGATTTATTTATCGGTTTCTGAAGATGATCAAATTCGCGCCCGGGTGATACTTCAGACATGTATTCAAGATGTTAGCGATTGGATGTCTTGTAATTTCCTACTTTTGAATGTGTCGAAAACTGAATTTGTGTGCATGTCGTCTCGGAGATTCTCACAAGACTCGTGTCCTTTGTCTAGTATCGCAATTGGTGAAGAATTGGTTAGTGCTTCGTCAAGTGCTAGAAACTTAGGTGTCTTGTTTGATTCGCAGCTATCTATGGAAACACACATTTCTACTATTTGTAGATCTGGATATTCCCATCTAAGAAATATTAATCGTATTCGTAAATCATTATCCCAATCTGATACTGAAAAGTTGGTACATGCTTTCATATCTTCTCGCTTAGACAGCTGTAATTCATTATTGTCTGGTCTCCCTGTAACTAAGATAAAACCTCTTATTCGTGTACAAAATGCAGCAGCCCGCCTTGTCACTCGTGCTCGAAAATATGACCACATTACAGACATTTTTATTAAACTTCATTGGTTACCAGTTGTACAAAGAATCAATTTCAAATTACTTTTACTAGTGTATAAATCTTTGTATGGTTTTGCCCCAAATTATCTATGTGAATTAATCGAATTTTATGTACCGAGTCGTAGTTTAAGATCTGAATCGAAGTTTCTTATTAAAACTCGTCAGATGTGTAGTAAAAAGTCCAAGGTGTTATACAAAGACCGTGCTTTTGAAAATTTAGGTCCTAAACTTTTTAATGAATTACCTCTGTCTGTTCGTTCTAGTCCTTCAGTAGACATTTTTAAATCCAGACTGAAAACGCACTTATTTAAATGTGCTTTTAATATTTGACTGATTGTTTATTGTATCAGCGCCTTTGATCTTCATATGTTGGAATTGTTGCGCTTAATTAAATAGAGTTATTATTATTATTATTATTATCTAACCGCTGTTGATGTTTGTACAAAGTTTCAAGAACACAAAACAAACAACTGACAACAATCGCAAAACAAAAACACTACACAGTCACTGTAGCCACACCAGTAAGAAAAAGATACTGTGGAACTCATTGCAAATGTATATATAAAATATGTTTTTGAAATGCAGTCCCTCACCCCTTTGGCTATTTTCGCAGATTTTTCGTCGCCGGAGCGATTCACGTCCCAAATTTTGGTTCTCTGGGCGTCTCTAATAAATACTCTATCTAACCGCTGGACTGAATTATGAAAAATTTATAGAAGATTGGGCGAAAATCGGTCGTTTTTGGCCTCAACGTTTTTTTGCTCGGAAACGCAAGGGCGATAAGACTCGATTTTCAAGAACGCAGGTCGCTCGGATCGGATGGTTTCTATTGTTTCGAGTCTGTTGTGTGTCTAGAAACATAATAACTTTGTTTTTTGGTAAATATAGAACATGCCCTGTTCCATTAAAGGATTTTAATATGCAAATCAAACAATTTTATTAGTTCCTTATTGTAACGTCTCCCATATAAATAGTCCTGTATTCCCAGAATTTGACAATGGTACTAGCCCAGAATTGACTTTCTGTTCAGCGCGTCTTTGATTGTAGTAATGTTTACGCCACTGTACGAAAATACGCACACTCGCGAATTTGACAACATCCACTTGAGCGTTTTAGGATAGTGGGAATAGAAGCAAATAGATGGAAATGCCAGTTACGTAACTCGTGCGATTCTCAATTTCGATGTGTAAAATCATATCGCTGCTGTGGACGACGACGGCTGACAGATTGTTTTGGTTCTGCAGCTAGCTCTCTTGGCATGGGCAACTGATTTTTAGGTTTCTGTTGTTTTTTTTTGATATTCTGACGTTCACTTGGTCGTATTTTGTATATACCACTCAGACACTGACAACAAGTAAGTAAACGGGCCGGAACATAGTCAACATGCCAGTGGGACTCTGAAGGCCCGGAGAAAGCGCCATCTTACAACATTAATGAACGAAATTTACATTTACAATTTCATGCTTCCGAACAATCTGATATTTATGCTGGATAACAAAGTATACAAGTACTGTCTACAATATACTGCATAATGGAAATAACATACCTATCTAACCGCTGTTGATTTTGGTACAAAGTTTCAAGAACACAAAACAAACAACTGACAACAATCGACAAAACAAAAATACTACACAGTCACTGTAGCCACACCAGTAAGAAAAAGATACTGTGGAACTCATTGCAAATGTATATATAAAATATGTTTTTGAAATGCAGTCCCTCACCCCTTTGGCTATTTTCGCAGATTTTTCGTCGCCGGAGCGATTCACGTCCCAAATTTTGGTTCTCTGGGCGTCTCTAATAAATACTCTATCTAACCGCTGGACTGAATTATGAAAAATTCATAGAAGATTGGGCGAAAATCGGTCGTTTTTGGCCTCAACGTTTTTTTGCTCGGAAACGCAAGGGCGATAAGACTCGATTTTCAAGAACGCAGGTCGCTCGGATCGGATGGTTTCTATTGTTTCGAGTCTGTTGTGTGTCTAGAAACATAATAACTTTGTTTTTTGGTAAATATAGAACATGCTCTGTTCCAATAAAGGATTTTGATATGCAAATGGTCTGAAGCTAGGCGATTAGGTGCCGTACGCGAGCGCCGGTTCAAGTCACGCACGCAGTACGTATTTACTGTAATTAGACGTAGTCTTTACCTTGCCGTTTATTCGGTGTTATTTGCTAATTTTATTAGTTCCTTATTGTAACGTCTCGCATATAAATAGTC